CGTGTAAGCGCGTCGACCATTTCGTCCATAGCATCGAATCGATGATTCATCACTTCGTTGTTAGCAGTTAAATGGGACTCGATGGATGCAAACCTCATGTCAAGATTCTCCATAAACGATCGAAAGTTTGGAGGCATCTGAGTCTCTTGTTGTACTGGCTTGTCCTCGGGTACGTGGTCATCTATATCGCGTATGAGTTCTTCAACCTCTGAATCATCGTTTGCAGCCGATGCTGGAGGAGCTCGTAAAGAGCTAGCACCCGATGTTTTCTTGGTGGATCGAACCCATTGATCATTTTCCCCGGACCATCTTGATTTCTTCAAGGTTGTGAAATTTATTTGGTTCTTTAGGGGATGACTACATCAAGCTGGAACCTAAGGTTGGATTTGATAAACAAACTGCTAAGAAGACAACTGTAAACTAAGGTTTCTGCATGTTTAGACGGGACGTTGTTTACGGTTTCAACTAGCTCAGAGAAAATAATTTATGGCAAATTTATTTTCTTTTTATTTTGGATACAATGTATCCACCAAAGATCTAGTACTCTAATCGTAGAATATATACCTCCGGATGGTCTAAACCACCAAGAGATGATTAAGTGAAAAAAAAACACTCGTGATCAGTTAACAATGCACTTGCACTAGCCTTGGCTCTATAAGGAGTAGCTACAATCTCTCTCTCATTATCTAAACCATCGTTATCTAACCCAAAGGTGTTAGCTATTGTGTCAGAGTCAATATAAATGAATTGGCCTAAGAGATAAGACCGAATTCCTACGGTGGCGGTACGAGACTCGTTTTGGACACAAACCGCATTAGAATAGAAAATGCGGACTAGTTGGTGATAAACAATAGGTTTGAGGTGAAAGAGTTTATCAAATTTCCAAGATCAGAGGGTATGAAGATATTCGAATTTCATCCATAGCTTGGATTGAGGGTATACGCTCTTCCCGGATTTTATGACTCGAATGAGTTAACGAACCTATGGTAGAGATCTTCTCGACGACCAGGTTGGTTAAAGCAAGAATTACAGATAGTTATATCGGGAGCATTTGTGTTTGGATTTTGAGGTGGAATAGGAGGTCAATTTTGAGGTTGGTTTGACCGACTAGATGACGACTTAGGCGTTTGGAGTGAGGCATGCTTAAAGTTGGAATGGATAAAGGAATACCTGCAATTTGAAAATACATGTATGCAAAACAATCAATTCCCAAAACTCAATATGAGTCTGCAATAGTCAAGGTTCTCTAAATAATATCCTAATGGGCAAAATTTGAAAAATATTTTGAAAACAATGTTTGAAAAATCATATTATGTATAGTTTTCATGAACACAACATAATTAAATAAAAAAAAATTTAAAAACAAAAACAAAATTTTTTTATTTCGATTTTTTTGATAAAATTTGTGTTTTTGATATAAAATTTGTTGTAGAATCTAGTTTAGAAACATAATATGAACAATGCTCGATATCTAATTCAACCTAGAACTAGTCCTAAGTTCAAAAATTAATAAAATAGTGGTTTTAAAAAATTACCTTGAAAATTCGGATTTTAGTGAGAATAGATGTTGTTTGCACGAATTTGTTGAGTGAAGCAGGTTATGAGTTGAAAAACAAATAGATTCCGACTTGAAACGTTGGATTTGAGCAAGTTTGAGAGTAGGGGTTGAGTGGATAGAACGACGACAATGAGTTTTGTTTTGGGTTTTTGACAAAATGAATGAATTTTAGGGATTTTAAGTCAAAACCCGACGAGTGTATCGATATACTCTTAAGTGTATCGGTACACTCTTAAGTGTATCGGTACACTCTTAAGTGTATCGGTACACAAATTACATTCGTTGTTTTTAGGAGTCAGGAGTGTATTGATGCATTGGTTGTGTATCGGTACACAAAATGCATTCGATGCTGGGTGTGTATCGATACATTAAAGAGTGTATCGGTACATCCCTTTGTAAAAATTATTTTTGGCTCGAGTATGGTTCGAAATACTTTGTAAAATTGTTTCAAAAATATTTTAAGACTCAAATACAATTTTACACTTAAGTAAGAATAAAAATTGACGTTTGAAAACTTGGAGTAATATTTTTGATATTCAATTAATTTTAATCGAATATGTAATTTAAAATTGAATAAAATCTTAAAATTCAATAATACTATATTTGTTATATCGAAACATCAAATTGTTTTCAACATGTATCAATTCATTTCAATATTATAAATACTATAAAAAGTAAAACCAAATTATAAATGCTAATTTCAAAGAAATTGTAGAGTCATAATTGTTTATTTTATTTTAATTTTAATTAATAACTATTTCTTTAGGTACATGTTAAAATATAACTATTACACGATTATATAATATACGCCATAAAAGTATATATATATAATATTAAAATTTGACATAATTTTTATATTTATAAATATTAAAAAATTATAAAATGTTATGTTATAATTTTCTGTTATATTTATAATATTAATTTTTTAATTTTTAATATTTATAAATTATTGACTTATTGTATAAACGTTGATAGTATCATCCAGACTTATATATTTTCATTATATATTTTATTAGATTGCCGATAAGTGCTCAATATTCTGTAAAAATAAAAATAAATAAAAATTTTCGCTCATAGGACTTGAGCCAAAAGTGACAAAAATAAGTCTCACTGCTTACCGCTACAACTATCAAATACATAATTTTATGGTTGATAATTAATTTACTTTATGTTAGATCTAGATTGATGTTTTATCACTTACATTACATTTTTGTAAATTTGAAATTAATATTATAAACAAAATAAAAAGTATAACAAAAAACAATTAATATTATAAATATAAAAAAATTGTAACCTAAGAAAAAATCTATAATTAATATTGTAAGCCTAACATAAAATTATAATATAATAATATTATGAACAAAAGTTTTATGGATTTAATTAAGATATAGATATAGATTTTTGGTGTCTTTGTTTTTAACATTTATTTAAGCAAACATTCCACTAATATATTTAACACATTTTTTTACCCTCCCGATTTTCTAAGACTTTGTCTTGATTAATCTGGATCGACCTGTGTCACACACCTAATATATATTTCATACATTTCATTTATTGATAAAAAAATTGCAGTTATCAGATTTAGATAAAAAAAATTATTTGGAATGTTACGGGTGCAAAGTGTGCTTTGCACATAGAAAACAGTGATGTGAGTATTTTTCTTAAGGCTTAATATTTAAAAAAAAATCTCAAACTATATAACTTTTTTCTAAAATGGTGTCTAAACTATTTTTTCGACCAATTCAAGTGTTTAATGTTATAAACATTACCATTTTATGTGTCTCGACCGTAATGACCGTTAAAATATTTCGTTAAGTTAAACGTGTCGTGTTTATATAATTTTTAAAATTTTATTTAAAATTAGAAAAACTTAAAAATATTTTTTTATTAAAAAATCCAAAATTTTCAAAAATCTTAAAAAAATCCAAAAACTCTAAAACCCTAATTTCAATCTTATACCAACGTCAACTGCATCTTTTGCCACTGTTACTATTGATCCCCCACCCGACCAAACTTCCAGTTGACAACAAGATGGTTCCGACCACCCCGAACTCGACGAACCCAATAGTTTGAAAAATTGCGACATCCAAAATTCGCGACACCCATGCGATTCTCGACACACAACGACTCTGAAGGCTATATCGACAGTAAGACTAACAACAACAGACAAAGGAGATAACAAGAGCTACATCGGCATCCAATAAGAGAGAAAAGGTTAGGATTAAGGAATTAGGACTTTTAAAGATTTGAGGCTTTTAAGTAATTTTAGAAAAATGTTTTTTTAAATAAAATGATATTTTTAAGTTTTCTTTCGTAATTTTAAAAAATCAAAATTATCAAAACATAATATATATAATTTAACAAGCTTTTTTAACAATTGTTACAGTCAAAACACCTAAAGTGGTAATGTTGATAACATTAAACATAGAATTAATCAAAAAAAAGTAACCACCATTTTAAAAAAAAGGTATAATTTGAAGAAAAAAAAAATAGAGAAAATAACCTCAGTGACAAAAAATCTCAGATAATATACGATTTTGACCAATTTTTTTTGGATTTACGAAAATGACCAACAAAATCGCAATGCGATCTCTAATTCACATTGCGATCTCCACTATTGCAAATTCGCGTTGCATTTCGCGTTGCGATAGTTGAAAATCGCATTGCGATTTTCCATTTCGCGTTGCGATAGTTGAAAATCGCGTTGCGATTTTCCAGTTCGCGTTGCGATAGTCTACAGTTGTCGTTGTGATTTTCTAAATTCGTTGCGATAGTCTACAGTTGTTGTTGCGATAGTCTACTATCGCAACGAATTTGGAAAATCGCAACGACAACTGTAGACTTTCGCAATAACAACTGTATACTATCGCAACGAATTTAAAAAATCGCAACGACAACTGTAGACTATCGCAACGAATTTGAAAAATCGCAACGACATTGTAGACTATCGCAACGCGAAATGAAAATCGCAACGCGAAATGGAAAATCGCAACGCGAAATGAAAAATCGCAACGCGAAATGCAACGCGAATTTGCGATAGTGGAGATCGCAATGCGAATTGAAGATCGTATTGCGATTTTATTGATCATTTTCACAAATCCAAAAAAAATTGATCAAAATCGTATATTATCTGAGATTTTTGGTCACTGAGGTTATTTTTCTCAAAAAAATATATTAAGCCTTTTTTTAAGTGACCAGAAAACAGTGACGTGGAATTCTTTGTACACGGCAGGCTACTTGGCGAATCAAAATTAGAATTTAAAACATTTGATATTCTTTGAAAAATGTTTTTATTTAATTTTTTAAGAAATAAAATAAAACCATCTAAATATTTTAGTGTTATTAATGAGACAAAATGAAGAATGATCACTGTGCCTTTCACAAAACCTAAAGTATTCATTGAGTCTGATTACCTAAGCTTCCACCTCTCGTAAACAACAACTAATACATCTTTAAGCTTAAGTAAATGAGATCAAATTTTACAAGCTACAAAGAATATGTATAGGGACTATACAATATAAAACTCTTTTTATTTTACATAAATTTAGGACCGTTAAATGAGGAAAAACAGATGACTGAGATTAATAGTAGAAAATTAAAAGATATTCACTGAAAAAAAACGAGTTAATCTCAACAATATGAATTTATGTAAAATTAAAAGAATTTTATATTGTATAAGTGGATCCTAACCCTATGTATATGTATATATATATATATATAAACAAGTTAAAAACCAATTATTCTTGCAAGACAAATGACCCTTCTATCCTTTTCTCCATGGGGTGCTGTGATAGAGGAAAATTTAGAGGCGAAAACTTGCCGTTAAAACTAGAGGCAGATGCAGGCTTGAACTCGTAAGGGCCTTTCTTCACTCCCCACACCTGTTTAACAAAGAGATTTTCACTTCATCGTTATAGAAAAACAAATATGGAGGAATGCATAACAGAGATCGTCAAAATTGACCTGATTTCCTTCATCATCATATCCCCTATCCCAGGTATGTATTTCGTTGTTCTTCAAAACCGAAAGTTCGGAAGTGCAGTATGTCACTCCATTCTTAGAACAACAGTGAAAAAGAGAGTAGCAAATGGAACTTGTTAGTACAGCACCGTTCATTGCAATAGAGAATCCATGCTAGCTGCTTGTTAAATAATCATACATTGATGCATAATGAACTGTTTCCTATGTTACTTGAACTCAAAATTGAGTATGAGATAAGAGGCATGTGTTCGTTTTGGATATGCACTTTAGTTTTTTTCGTATATTTGTAAGATCAGACCCCATACTAAAATCCAACTACGAGAGACGTGAATGTTTACAACCTTGCAAAGTTGGAAATAAAAAGGAATGACAACATCATGGACAGCGAGAGGAATATACCCATGAATTTGGGAATCCACCTGGTGGAGTCGAACCTTCATATAAACAGCGTTTCCCTCTTTCACACCGATTAAGATGTATAGTCGTCAGATGTTCTGCAATATCCTGTTCAGAGAATATAGTTTTACAAACATGATTACATTTCTGGAAGTTGCCGAAATATAGGCCTTCAACACAAATTTATGCACCAAACATCTTACTGACAAAATTGCAAATGATTACCAACCACTGGCAGGCTCTAAAATGCAAAAGAAAAGAAAATTGTTTCCAGATTTAATAAAGAAACAAGAATCTAAGCATGATAAGCTATGACAAGATAGAAATAGCAAGTACCAAAAAAACCAAAGAAATCAAATACATGGATGCTACCACACAAGGGAATAATGTGAAAAGGCTTACACCAATAACTTCTTCAGCTAGGGGACGTTGATCCCTTGGGCGATCACAGAAATTCTTGTACTCCTCCACATCTCTAATTGCGAATGAACTTACCTGTGCCAGTAAAATACAAGTCAGAAATCCAAATGCCAGCAAGCTCCAAAGATTTCAAATGAAGAAAATAGTTGACCAAAGAAATAGTGTGAATATACTAAACATAAGAAGTAGAACACATTGGCATTGATTTAGGAATGCATTGATTTTGAACTCCTCAAAAGTAACCAAGATTATTTCCTAGCATGCCTCTTTCTATCTTCTTCTTAAATCCTAAACGCAATATCTTTCAACCGCAAAGTAAACTCTTATCGTAAATCAGTGCAGAAACAAACCTCAACGTCGCATTTCAAATCTTTTGGACAAGGCTTCACCATGAGAAACCTCTACAACCAGAAAACTGTCAGAATTGTTCGAGGTAAAGGTGCTCCAGTGAAAAAGAGTTCAAAGGAAAACACGAAAAACAAAAGCACAAATATAACTGAAGGAACTCAATTATCATACAGATTGTCTGATTGCTATATCTTTTCGAGCCGTAACATACCTGCCGAAAGGGTTTCTGAGGAGTCCTCCAAAATGCCTAAGCCAATAAAAAAGAGCAAACCACTAAATTGAAGCATATTAACATAAAACTTTCAAAACGAAAAGATAGAATAGGCACTGAGTTGAACAAAAACCTGTTCAAAATATAAAACCTTTGAACCATCCACCATCTCTGTTGCAGGACAAGTAAGTGTTCTGCAATGATCAGTATTTCTTAAATTTAGCTGTATTTAAAGCATCAGCCATATACCCATTGCTGGATATGCCGTGAACCATAACATAAACTAAGAAACAAGTAACATGAAGCTTAATCAACACCCACAGAAACTAAAATTAACTTCTTCTTTTTCATCCTAGATACAGTAAATAAATAGCACCTGATGTTGAAGTAATTATCTGGGTCTCTAGAGGCTTGCTCCCACGAGAACTACAAACAAACACGAATAAAGAAACAAATTCGAAACCCAAAATGAATTCAAAAGGGAAAAGAAAATGAAGCACCTTTTCACCGCTAAGAGAACGAGCAACGATTTTTGCATGGTCCCAACGAGTGGTGGATTTGGTGAACTTCTTGAGCAAATAGGCGCCGCCAATTAGAACCAAGGTCTTCACCACCAAACCTCGAGCTCGGCTCCATCCATTCGAGTCCGATTTCGAACCCGACTCCGAACCTTTTTCCATATAATTCCCCTAAACTTCTCAGCGCATCCAAACACCCATATGTTCTTATATAATTCCCTGCGAAGATTGAGAGGAAAATAATAATATAGGGATTCTCCAGATATAAAGGGAAATTAGATTTGGAAACAATTACTATTTGTTTTGGATTTGAAAACGAGGGTTTATTGCTGGTTTGGTGCTGTGTCAGTGATTAACACGTTATTCTTCTCTTTCTGTTTTCACTAGCGTTCACCATTGTGGTCTTGTCTGAAATTTGTTTCTAATATGTAAGTTTTATGACTAAACTATATAGTTAGTTAACCATCAATTCTTGTGGTTCTGTACTCATCATCCAACTATTTTTTAAATCTAGTTAATTATATCACATATTCTTAATTTATGGTCATCATTTTAAATTGGTCCTTAAATTTCTAAATAATTTAATTTCATCACTAAACTATGACTATCATTCTAAATCAATCCTTAAATTTTTTAACATTTCAATTTTATCACCAAACTATGGTATTCAGTCTAAATTAGTCCCCAAACTTTTTGAACATTTCAATTCACCCTAAACTATACATATATATATATATTAATCACATTCATTGTTAATAAAATATTTAGGCCAAGTTTTATTATTATATGTTTGAAAAAGTAAAATTTAGGTTAAACTATGGTTGAAACTAATTACATATTTAGATGAATTTGGGGGCGAAATTGGAATATTCAAAAGTTTGGAGACCAATTTAGAAAGAGGGTCATAGTTTAGGGATGTAATTAGAATGTTCAAAAGTTTAAGGACTAATTTAGAATGATATTCATAGTTTGGAGATGAAATTAAAAAATTCAAAAGTTTAAGGATCAATCTAAAATAAGAGTTATAGTTTGGAGAATATGATGCAATTAACTCTTTAAAATAATATCTAACGTTATGTTTTGGTTCCTAAATGAAACCAATGATGCATTAATTTTCTTTATTTTTTCAATTATGATATGGTGTTATCTTTTTCAATTATGATATGGTGTTATCTTATGGTGACATGTCAGCATCATCGTTACTTTATTTAATGTTTTTTTAATTGTACTTTCTTTAATGGTGGACGACTAAAAATGAGCCAAAATATAAATTTAGATATTATTTAAAAAAATAGTTGGTGACCAAAATGGAATAACGAGAATAGGTGAGTGACTAAATATGTAGTTTATCCTAATTTTTTTAAAGGATTAATAGCCAATTTCTTCATATACTTTTGTCTAACTTTTAGTTTGGTCCCTATATTACATTTTCAGTTTATCTTTATATTAGTATTATATTCATCACTTCGTTATAATTTCAGTTACCATTAAACAAACGTTATGTGGTCCAATCAAATTGTCTACATGTAATAAAATTAAAAAAAATATAAAAAAACTCATAAAAATTAAAAATATTATATTTTCAAAAGTTATATTCTTTTTCAAAATTGTAGTTATGTTTATTTTATTTTTAAAAAATAAAATATAAAACCATAAAAAAAAACTAAAAATAATTTGATATTTTTAAAAATAAACTTTGGATTTTATTTTTTTTTTAAATCAATATTTTTATATTTTCATGATGCAAGCATAATTTGATTGAATCATCTGAGTTTTTTTTAACATTAATAACAATATGGTAAAAATGATAAATAAAATGCTAGTACTAGAGTTGAGCAAAACTCGATTCTACTAAAAAAATTGATGTTTTCAATTTGACTAGACTAAAAAAAATTTAAATTCAACTCTAGTTATAAAATACAATTTGAATGACTCGAATAACTTGAAATTTTTAATAATTAGTGGATTGATTTTTAAGTTTGCATTGCAAGGAAATTCACCTTTAGTGACGATGGAAATGATCACTAAAGACATTAAATTTAAACAGTAAAATGCATAGTGAAAATTTTTGTCGTCACTAATAACTCCGTCACTATTATATTAGTGACAATTATTCTAAAAACTATCACAATTGTTCGTTTTTTAACATTTATTCAACACAATTATCAATATAAATTTTGATGAATTTGTTTGACACTAAAAATATATTTTGTGACCATCAATATTATCAAATTAAGTATTTTTTAGTGACCAAATGTTTGATACTATTATCAATAGAATTGTGATAAATTTGTTTAAAGCTGAAAGTATATTTTGTGACTACGTTTTTTGACATAAAAAGACTAATAACAGTTACAAAAATTTAGACTCTAATAGTATCTTTATTAGTGACAAATATTTTATCACAACTACATAATTAAATTGATTAATTAAAAAAATCATCATGAAATCAATTATAGTATATATTTTACATTTTAGTTGTATCCATCTTCTTTAGGAACTTGAATTGCATTCATTGTTAACGATAGATAATGTGACATCTCCACATTTTTTTTCTAGATCGGGTACTACATAGACAATGTCGATCCTTTCAACCCAATTTGCTTAAGGATCTAGTGTCTCTTCCCGCTATGCCAACTAGTTGTTGGTTTCATATGTAATTTTTTGATAAATTAATACAATGCATGAATTTTAAGATGATTAAACTTGGGACCTTCAAGAAAGAGTGCAACGCCTAAACACTATGCTAAGAAACAAATATTTGCTGTTGAAAAATAATAATAATATTTAGGTTAAACTATTGTTGGAATTAATTATATTTATTTTAATATATATAATATTAATTATTATTATAATTTGATTAAATTTTCTATGATTTCCTATATGAAATACGTTCATGGAAGATAAATATAAAAATAATTAGCTAGGTTTTAAAATATAAACATATAAATATTAATTAGATCATAATAACTAAAACAACAATTTGCACGTAGTATAGAGACTAATAACAAAATTTTAGACAAACTAGTTTATCTTAACAACAATTTTAATTATTATTGATGTCAATATTTATCACAAAAAAAGTAAAATTTTAAGCGACAAACAACTTTATTGTCATAACAAATATCAAATAACAGCGATCACTTTATATATTATCACTATCATATCTCGCCAAAAATATAATTGACGTCAATTTGTGTATTCTAATAATGTCTAAATTTTTGTGAGGGTGAAATTTGTGTTACAATTATATACTTATAGTGAGAATTTAATTGTGAGAAATATTAAATCATCATAATTATTACTGTTATTGTGACGAAATAAAAATACATCACAATTATATTTTTTAATAGTGCCGTACAATTTTTTTTCATCAAAAGTTTAATATTTGTGACAATTTTACTAATAGTCACTATCAATTTATAAGTAAAAATATTTATTCTTGTAGTGATACTTGTGACATAATTCAAGAATGGTAACATTACTAGTCAAAAATTGTTATTGTCACAATTATGAATAATAATAGCGATCACTTAACATGCTATAACTATTACATTGTTTGTTGTTAAAAAAATTGATTTCAATTCTAGCATCTTATTAATGACCAAATAGAAGGACATAACTATTCACTTTAATAGTGATTGTCGTCATAAATCACCAACTAAGACTAGTGACAAAAATAATTGTCTTCACAAATCATCAACTAAGACTGTGACAAAATGTTTTCATCATAATTATGGATAATAATACTGACTAAATATATTGTCACTATTATAATTTTTCCCGCAAAAAAATAAGTTGATGCCAATTCAACCATTTTACTAGTGACTAATTGATAATAACGTAACATCCCAATTACCGGGTAAGTGACTAAATTGTAAGAACTTATAAATTTAGTTGGTGAATTAGAATAAAGTGATAAGTCTAGTGATTTATGGAGGAATTTGGTGTGTTGGGTATTATAATAAATATGGAATTATAACAAGGGTAAAATAGTAAATTTTAGGGGAAGATATTTTTAAATGGTTTTGGATGGGATATATATGAAGAAAAAAGGGAAGATGAGTTGGTAAATCATATTGCTCTCTTCTTCTTCAACGTGGGCTGCATCTTAAGGTAAGAATCTGAACCTTGGTTGTTTCTTTGATTTTTGGTTTGGTAATGAAAGTTTGAATGTTATATAAGTTAAAGGAAAGCTTATATGGCATTAAAACAACAAGATAAGTGTTTTAGAGATGGATTTGAAAAATGGGTTTTTAGATGAAATTTTGATATGGATGAGTTTTTGAGGTTTGAATAAGATTTTCGACTTGTAAAGAGGTTAATTAAAGGGTTAGGAGTGTTAGAATTGATTAATAACATGTTTGAAGTTTGGGTATGATTTTAAGATTTAAATGTTCATATAAGAATTTGGGATATTTGAGAGTTGTAAATATTATGTATATTGATTTGTATCAATGTATTATTATGTATATATATAGAACGTAATCTTGTTCCGGAACAATCGAAGGATTAAAATCGAGTCAAAGTAAGCAAGGCTAAGGTGAGTGTACATACTAGATAGAATTGTATGGAGATAAGACTTATGATAAGTCTATCTCTTATAGTTGAATTCATGATTTCATATTCATGTACATGCATCCATATATATATATATATATATATATATATTGAATATAATGATTTCTTGCATAATTCGTTTATGCTTTAATATGATATTATATGAAAGAATGCAATTGTCAGAGAATCAATTCAGGTATGTGAAATAATGGAAATGATCATATGTGTACATGTGAAGTGAAATATGTGTTTATCTGAAAAGTGATGAAAGAGATATGAAAATGAGAAATGTATTCATATTTAAGCCCATTTATTCAATATGAGAGCTGTAGGTATAATTGGCATGCCAAGAGTCGAAGGATATACAGTGGTCGTCCTTCGGGACATAGTGGTCCTTCGGGACAAATATTCAGTGCCCCTAGTGGGAATTTATTTGAGCTGTGGTGACAACATTCTTGCACAACCTCAGTGTACTCGCGTACCTTATGTTCTCAATAATGTACATGGGCAATACAAAGATAAAGTGAAGTGAAACTTGCATAAGAAGGTAAATTTCATATATGTATGACATGATCAAATATGTTGTAGTGTAATGGATACATGCAGGTTATAATGTTACAATTGTACAGTAAGAGTGCATGTTTTATGAATTCATTGTTATATATTTTATTATGCCTCACTAAGTCTATGACTTAGCGTGTAAGTGATTTA